TGTACTTACTTTTTCACACATGGCTTCTTTCTAACTGGAGATTGAATTACAATTGTAAAAAAGTGGAGGAAACAGATTGGAAGTCTGAAAGTCAACCTCAATATTAAAATGTAAAGACCCTGGGTAACAGCTGTTGGAATTGTGCATGTAATTTCTGGTAGAACTGATTTTGTTTTTTTAGAAGGTATCAGAAAAGTAAAGGAGAATAGGTTGGTATACCAAATAAGGCCTGGTTTTGAGATTAAAAATAAGAAATGGTATTGAGTGTGAAAGTATTTTTTTTATTATTATTATTTTAATCCTTACTTAGTTCAGCTGGCTTTTTCCACAAATGTTATGAACAAAAGGTCTGGTTAACAAGGACAAATTCATTTAAGACATCTCCAGCTCTTGAAAAATGTTTACTTGTGATATAAATAGTATAGCAATACATATAAGTGTTACCTTAAATTTCCACATATCTATGTTGGATTATAATTGGACAATTAAAAAATAGTTATATTTCAACTTATATTCATCTTACACTGTCTCAAATGCTCTTCAAGGCAACATGTTCAATCCTTCAAGATTGCTCTCTGTGAACATACCTATCTGTGCATAACATCAAGCTATTATGTGGCTGGCTTCTTTTTGACAAACCATGAGGAAGGGAGTTAGCAGAAAACTATAATAAGCAACCATAGTTTGCTTTCACTGTGATATGTCACTATGAATGAACCAGAATCTTGTTCTTGTACTCTGCCTATCCCATTTAGATATTGAGAGAACAAATCAGGGAAAAATACTGTGACTGCTTATTTTTAAGGCTGCTTCTTCAACAAAACCTGGTTAAAATAATCCTAGCTTATTGTTATATATGTTTGTATAATTATAATTTTACTCACCATCCTCAGTCTACAGCTCTACATCTGTGGTATGATAAGAGTTAGGACATTCATCTGGAGGGGGAATGACTTAATCTGCATTGATCTGTTTGTTTCATTTCACTGGATCTTGTACTTCAGAAAATAGTAGACCAATTCAGAAATTAAATTGGGTGGTAGCAGTATTTATAAGATAGCATCAAATAGGATTACATCATGTACAATCTAAACACATTTTATCCAATTTACTGTTGACCATTTCTGCCTTTCTGGAAACAAAAAGAATTACATAAACTAGGTATCATGTAAAATTTCCATTACATGTACTCTGTGACCTGTAACAATAGTGAAAAGACTACTCATTTATCACACTTGGCCAGTTAATTCACTTTGTCAGGATTCACCATGCTAATATAATTTAATATAGTATAGAAGTTCTTGATTTTGTACGATTGAAGCAAAACCCAAAATATCGCTGTGGTATTTTTATATAGGGCATAATTTGAACTTGAAATGGTATGTGTATGTTAATTCTCAAATTTAAGGGACATGTAGGAGTCACAATATCCCTATGTGTAATTTCAGCACAGTTATCATACTCTATACCAGGTCTTACTAAGCATTTGAAGGGCAGCCATGCAAAATACATTGGCCCAAGCAAAGCGCTGTTCCTCAAGGCACTGTGGAAGTCATCTCCACCAGAAGGCTTGGTGCAACTACTTGAAAGGCTAAGTTGTTTTGCACATAGTATATAAAATATAGATAGACATAATTTTTTCTCCCACTCAAGGTCATCCATGGAAGTTAAATGCAGAGAGATTCAGGATCAACAGATGAACCCCCCCCCCCCCCATACAGCACATGTTAAACTGTGGAATTCACCTGGCTTGAAACTGTGAAGGAAGGTGTGCAGCTGTTTCAATTGTAAAGTTAGCACAGGTCCTATCTGTAGCCCTGCTTAATGATCTGCTGAACCACCATTAGCTTGGAATATGCTTTGAATACAACTGCGTAGATAGTATGTTGCAGCTATCTAGATATGAATCCAAAATAGGGTCTCTTTTGACAAATCTGCAGTGATTAAGAGTGGCTGGATTGGTGCCCCAGGCAAAGTTGGGTAAATAACCAAATTCAGTGCCTGATCTAGGAGCCCCATTACTGGATTATTCACAGTTTTGCAGTTATTTTCCAAGTTGTAGGATAGGATTCTGCTTATCATTGGTTAAATAAGGCCAATTCCAACAGAGCAACCCTTTCACAGCCAGTCCTGATTATGTTTCATCTGCATATCTCTTTGAAAATCTCCTTTAATGTTGAGTTGTAGTCTTAGGGACTTCACAGATACATGTAGTTTTCTTGGCAACAGTACTGAAGGATCTTTTCCGAGTTCCCAGTCCAACTTATAGTCCTACTGTTTCTATGCTTTGACACTGCTTAGATGGTTAATTGAAGCCTTGTATTCCTTGATCATTTCCTAACTCTCAGGAAGCATTTTACTCCTTGAAAAAGAAGACAAGGCTCTCCTGAGGAGGAAGAAACTGACAAGACAACTGATGGAATGGGACAGATTGATTCCCGTGTCTTATTTTCCTGGTGGCAACAAGGTTTAGACCTGGAGTGACCAACTCAATATCAAGCAATAACAATATCAAGCCTACATATTATCATGCTTTAGTTCTAACAATAGTCAGAGATTTGGATCCATAGATGATAATGCTAAACTTATCATCCAATCAGCCTGCTGTGTATTATCAACAAATTATATGCAAAACTTATCTACAAAGATGTGCTGACTCTAGAACAAGCAGGTTATAGATCAGGCTTCTCAAAAGTTGACCACTTTGCATCACCTGTCGGCAAAGGATGCCAGTTTACCAATGGGCGCTCTCTACACTGCTTTTATAGATTTGAAGGGGGCATTTGACTCAATTCCACGTGAGAGTCTATGGAAGAAACTGGCAATTCTCCCTCAACCACTGTCTTCTACAAATAATGCTGATGCTGCATGTTGATGCTGCATGAGGGCAGGTTAGATGTCCCTGTGGATAACTGACTGTGTCTGTTCCACCCTCCAAAGGATGTATTCCAGCTCCCCTAGAATTTATTTTTTACATTGCCCTTGCCAAATTCATATTCCATAGTCCATCTCTGGCTCACAATTCAGGGTCCATGTTATTAAATGCTGAAGATGATGCTATTCTGTCTCTTAAGTGGAGCTTTGATGAATAGTTTGTGTGCTAGCACTATTTTGTCAGACCACAAAATAACTAGGCAAAACCCAAGGTGGTTGTAGTTACTTGGATAAATTGAAACATTAACAATACCTACATTGAATAGGTGAAGGTCTTCACGTATCTAGGTATTTATTTTCAGTCCTTCTTCTGCAACATTACTCTTCAACTCTTAAGTTGCAAATGCAAAAATATTCTAGTGCAGTAGCCTGATACTTGAGCCATAACTACATGTCCATAGCAGTCAACTTATTAAAAGCCAAAATACTAAACTTGCACTGATAGACAGTTGCACCTCCCCATGGAACGACCAAATTATGTCTGATCTAATTACTGCAGGTTTACCACACACAAGCACACCCCAATCTATATCTATGCTGGGTCTCTGGAGAGAAGTCAGATGACACAGATGATATTTCATCTCTACTACAATGAGCTTATGTATCTGTCCCTTATCAGTCCCAACTACTTTCATCACATTTTTGTGCCCTTGCAAATAGTAGGTGTGAATACCTTTTCATTGTGCTGATGGTGAGATTCAATATATCCCCATCAAAAGCATTTATGTATAATTTCAGATGCTGAAATTAAATCAATTGGATGTGCACTTTGAAGTGTTCCATAAACCATTCTTGGAGGTTGGAGTTAATCTCCCCTTTAATCATAAATGACCCATGTTGGCCCCAACAGGCAAACTGTATTTCCTACTCAATGATCAGTATTCCAAAATTTCCAGAAAAGTTGGAAATTCAGTTCTATAGCAACTGTTGCTCAGCTTTGTTTAATTTCTGTTATGAACAGGGCTCTTAGGCTGGCTGCTCTGTATTTTAATTGTGTTTTTTCATCTACACCCATTGAATATTGATTAATTGGTTATATGCCATCAAGTTGTTCTTGACTGTTAGCAACTACACAGATTTTCTCCATGACGTTCTATCCCTAACCTAGTATTTTAGGTCTTTCAATGGCTCTACAACCATACATAAGTAAAATACAACAATAATATCCTGGATGGATGGATGGATGGATGGATGGATGGATGGATGGATGGATGGATAGATAGATAGATAGATAGATAGATAGATAGATAGATAGATAGATAGATATTTCCACCTGTCTCTCGGATGATGCCTCCTCTTTTCGAATTTCTTGAAGAGGATATTGTTTCTGAATGGTTTCAGGACTACAGACCAATGGTTACTGTAAAATACTAAAATTTTCAGTTGTGATACACTTTTTTATGTATTATGTATTATATTTGTATTCTACCTTTCCTCACAAGAAGCTAAGGTAGTTCCCTCCCTTGAAGTTTCTTCCCACCATGCACTGTGTGATTGGTGACATTTAAGGAATATGAGCAGCCCAGGACAGGCAATGAATCCCATTGGCAAATCATTTGTGTCATTCTTAGAATGGTACAGAACAGAGTCCTATCATTCTCTGCTTTTCAGGTCCCGTTTATATATAAGTTCACTCCCCACATTATTATTGCATTCATCCATTCTTCCACAGATAGGGTTCTTTTGGGAAATAAAATATTTGTCCATTAATGCTGTGGCAGAGATAGCCCTGCCTATTTCACTTTGAATATTGTAAACAAATAATTGTCCTTCCCTTGCATTGTAAGAAATCGCCAACTTTTAAAAACCCTGAATCATACACTGAGCATTGTCAACTGAAAGTCTCCTTTTTCATCTTTAGAAGTTTCCGTACTCATTTTACCTAACTGCATTTATCCTGATCTCAAACATACCCACATTTGATCTGTGTTTTGGGAAGAGCCTAACCTGTGACTCGCCTCTGTGTTTCTTCTGTTCCTTTTACAAAGACAATTCCAGGTACATAGAAGCTTTTTAGGATATAATTGTGCTCATGTGCATTTCTAAATCATGTTCTTTAATTGCAGGAGGAGGAAGAAATGACTTACGAGCAAACTTTAGAATTTCGCAGAGGGGGTGACGGGCAACCCAGGCGGTCAACACGGCCCACTCAACAATTTTATCAACCTCCAAGAGCTAGAAACTGATCAAAGGTAAATTATTGCTTCCTACAAGTAAGAATCTAGCTCTGTTCTTCTGGAAGTCCCTTGACATTCTGAGTATCCCTGAAAAAGGAATGTGTATTCCTTTTAAATAAAATATCTATGACACATATGTCTGGCCTGATTCATGATTGGGTGAGAAATGCAATGGAAAGTGGCTTATAAGGGTGAAGAGTTGTAATGTATGTCATTTTAGTGCATACAACATGGAAACGGTTAAGTCACATATTAAAGGGGGGGTGACTTAAATGTCTTGTGGTGTCTCTCTTTTCTAAATGTTCTCTATATAATCATAACACATACAAACTGTTTTGTGAAAATGGTGAAATGATCCCACGTTGTCCTTTTTCCCATTTCAGATATTCATCGTGGCAAGAGCGTTCTGCATTTCTTCACGCCTGAAGGGTAATATTTCAGAAAGATGCAGACAGGGAGTACAGAAATCTACCCACCACAGACTTTTTTTTAAAGTTAATGCTGTGAAGCTAAACTTTTTACATATGAAAAAAAAAAAAAAAAACATTGTTAATACTGACATCAATAAAAGCCACCATGCTCAACATTGTCTTTGCTTTGTGTTTTCCTGATTGCATGAATTATTAGTGAATGCAGCCCTAATCCCTCTTATTTCAAAGAATTGATGGACTCTATTAAAATTTCAGACTTGAAAAGTTGAGAACTGAGAAGGACCTGTGTTTTTGCATCAGTATACAGAGGCTGAAACATTTATTATTGCTACCCCAATAATGTTACTGCCCAATCACTTAAGGCTTTATTAGCATGCATTATATTTACCAGAGTACAAGATTCCTGCCCCAGAGATCTTACAGCTCAAAATCTAACCCTATGGAAACAGAAAAGAGGGGAAAGAATATGCAATTTTCTAGGTTACATTTTGCTTATGTCCAGAAGAACTACAGATTGCAGCCAAAGACTAGTTAGGTAAGACAAGGAACTCAAGAGACTTCTCTTTGGACCCATATCACTACTTTATTACTGTCCCTAACAGTAGAGCACAACCAGGGAAGCTTCATTGCAGGTAGTCCTCGCTTAGCAACCACAGTTGGGACAGGCACTCAATCGCTAAGCACTAAGTGAAACATCATGTGACCGTGACAGGCTTACAATCTCACTTCAGTCGTTCAGCAAATCACTGCAGTTGTTAAACAAGACATCACATGACCACAACTTGCGATTTTACTTCTGGATCTCTCTCAATTCTGCTTGTTGGAAGCTGGTTGCAAAGCACACGAAAGGTGATCACGTAACTGCGGGACACTGCGACAGTCATAAATGTGAGGATTGGTCACCAAGCTGTTTTTTTTTCAACCATCATAACTTTGAAGAGTTGTTAAAGGAGGTAGTCGGTAAGCAAGAACTACCTGTATTCAGCTTTCAAGAAATAAGGGGTTAGGATACCGAATCTCAGAAACTGAAAAGGCAAAACTTCTCTCCTCATTTGTGAATGGTTTCCTCAAGATGGGACTGCGTGAGATGTTTGAACCATTTTTTCCCAGCCTGTGAAACTGAAGGCTAATGGCCCTTTCACCAGATAATCCTGGCCCTAAACATCCATCTGCTCTTCATCAGAGATGCTTTGAAATCTTCCCTTTCTCACTCACCCTCAGTCAGTTCTCTTACATTATTCATTATGTCTCCTCCATCACAGCACAGAAAAATTAGCCAAGGTTTTCTCATTGTAATTTATGGACTCCTTCAATTCGGTCCTCAAAGCTACTTGGAATGCATAGAAAAAGATACTTTGTCTCATGCAATTTCATTTCTAAAATAAATCTGAGCACCACTCAGATGTCTTGCAAGACTTGAAAGTGGTGAGGCAGGAATCTCTGACTCATATCGGAGAAAAGCATTTTGTAAACAAGAGACAAATTCTCAAGGCTTAGAAAGGAGCAGTTACATCTTCGTTTTTCTTGAGGCCGAAGATTTCAACCTAAGGTTTAACGTATACAGAAGGCAAGGTTCCAAAGAGGTCCTGGACAGAAGATTTCTTTGTATCTATGACTTCCTAATTCTCTGCAATAAACTACCTATTTAATGTTCTTGTACTTGCATAGGAATATGGAGTGAAAAGAGGGTTTGATACTTGGTACAAAGCCTTGATACGTCCTTGGAAGCATTATGTATTCATAGGAGAGCACATTTTTGAATATACAGTATCCCAAATTCTGGCCCTACATCTCCAAACAGGACTGGGGAACCCCTTACCTTAAAAATCTGAAGAGGTGGTAGATCAGGAGAAGGTAACATGGTGCCAAGAAAGTAACTTTGTGCCATCCAGAGAGAATTTTTTAAAAACATTTCAGTTTTTATTTCCCCTCCCTCCCTCCCTTCCCCCCCTTCTCTCTTTCTTTTTTTTTTTTTCTTTTTTTTTTTTTTTTTCTTTTTTTTTTTCTTTTTTTTTTTTTTT